CAAACATGATGATACTGATAGCTGATGTATGAATTAACCTACATTTGCATTTTTTTCTACATTGACTCCTTCTTTGAAAAATAAAGATTTTTCTGCCAGAAGAACATAATCCAGACTTAATATCTAATAAAGTATGTTCTACACAGTACCTTGTAGTGGCAGGGGCGGAAGGTGTCAGACAGGATGATGTTACAATGTCGATGTGCCCAGGCTTGGCGGTGTGGGTGCAGAGCACAGTAGTCAGCTAGCGGTGCCTCAACATCAGGACAGGACGTGGGGACAACACAACAGATAACAGATTCATAGATCCCATACAAATATACATTCCTAGCCTCTTACTTTACATTGTCAAGCAAATTGTCCTTCATACACACTTAAGACACATGCAGCATGTCGACTATGTACAATATTCTATTTTTGGCTGGCTCAGAAATTCACATTCAAGTACATTTAAGGTTAGAATGAACAGTAACTGTTGTTTACTTATGTTTGAATTTTATCCAGCTACACAAGGCTCATTGTTACATGTCACTCCTAGTTCAGTTAACATTACAGACTAACTGTCTGACCCGGGATCATTCCTGGAAAGACGTCACCACGTACTGACACCTCATTGCCATGAAGCAAAAAGTTTGTACAACCCCAACCCAATTGTGCTGATTAACAAATATTTAAGTATTGAGCACCAGAGTCTGATATGTACCTTTGCGTACAGTACCTTGTTGTCATTCTGAGTCTTGGAGACTACATGAATGGAGATCAGTACTTACACTGGAAGCCTTCCAGCTGTTGGCAAAGTCCTGGACTGTGGTGGCCCTGTCCAGCTCGGGCGTGTTGAAGTCATTGATTTGGTTTCCATCAAAGTTTCCACACATGCCACACAAGCGGCCTCGGTGGTTGGGCCACGCCTTGATGTACAGACGCGTGGCATTGTCCCAGTACAGGTCAATACCATTCTCCACCTTAACAATGGTGAAGAATCCACTTCTGTAGATGTTGAACCTAGGGGAAAACACTTTACATTGAAGCAGAGCAGTATCAACAGTAACACAGATTTCCAAGTTGTTTTTAGGAACAATTCTGTCGTAGGATAATTGATTAACTGACTTATGATAACTTTTACAGAGAGATTTCTTTCGTGTAGAAAGTTAAGAGCTTAGAACTTAGATAAATTAATGCTAGTTTTGGTTAGTTGGTAGGATCACTAAAAGTTGTCATTTAAATACAATCTAGAGTGCAATTTACTGTAAGGCCTACTGTGGCCAATTTTCTCCACAAGGCCTACTGTCAGGTGCGTACAATGAATGACATACTTGTAGGAAGTGTAGGCAACCTCCGATCCCGGGATGGGTCCAACGTGGACGTCCTTGCCGTGCTCCAGTTGGATCTGTAACTGCTGGAGGGTCACGGTAACCTTACGGGCACACACGTTACCCGACAGTCCGTTACAGGCCGTCTTCTCTGCGTGGATACGGAAACTTCCAGTCTGGTTGTAGCAATAATCCTGGGGAAAAGTGATATAAAAATTTCAGCCACAGTAGATAAGATTTTCCAGCAAAGGCTGCCACAATGCACCAAATGGAAAATACAGCTGCCATCAGCAAGGAAAGAGTTAGAGGGAATTGTCGAAAGGTCCAAGAGCGATTACATCAAGGACATCAATAACAGATGTTTTAAGTAGTATTGTGAATGTTTAAATTAAAGTCATACCTAAAATCTTCTAAATTAACATTCTTTTTATCGACTAGAGATAATATAAAACTCTGAATAATTACCTGGGCAATGATATACTTGCAGGTTCCTTCAAACTGGTAGCTGTTACCATCAAAGGTGGTGTAGTGGGAGTTCCCAAACATGCTACACTGAGCTGCACAGTCTTTGGTGGTGCAGGACCAGACACCTTGTCTGCATGTACTGTTACAAGGTACCAAAGTAGGGGAACTGTTATAAACTATACTGAAACGTGTTTCATGAAGATAAAAAATTCGAGAAATTAGGGCTGCAGGTCAGGGAAAGAATTTTAAGATGACAAGGCTACAAAGATTTAGGAATGACAGCATGCATAGATATGGGAAATAAAGTTAATGCACTGTGAAAACTGTTGAATAATATGTTTTTGTTACATAATATAATTATTTTGAGCAAAAATGAGACTAAGAGAAAGGAAATTCATAGAGAAGAGATGTAACTTGGCATGCACTGCTAGAATTTATTTGATTATATTTGATTTGAACACTGCTGGATTCAGTGCCTACCAGGAGTTGCAGTCCACACTGATGGTCTGGCCTGGCTCATGCATCTGCCCATTGTGCTCACAGCGACAGTTCTCTGGCAACACACACTCATCCCCATCCCGAACCAGCCCGTGGGGACACTGGCACCCTGGTAAGGGTGCAGAGAAGGTCAAAATTTAACTTTCAAGGACAG